TGGAAGAGCATGCATTATGTCCACACCAGTATATTTTTAATTTCTAGTTATTGCTTTGTCTTTATGAGTTTTAAAAATCTATCATCATAATGTGTTCTTCAAGTCATCCAGATTTTTTTATTTTTTTTTTACATTTCAGACTCATTCATGGAAGCTGTTCACATCCTTAATTTTAAATACCTTGATTCCTAATGTCTGGCTTTGAGCCCACTTTGTAGAATCTGACTTCCAAATGAATGGCTGGCTGGCTGGCTGGTTGGTTGGCTGCCTTCCTTCTCTGAGAGCTACACAACCAAGAAGAAGCCTCTTAATAAAGACAAGAAAGGGTTCCTATTCATTTTGGTTCCATTAACTTCTCTACCGTTCAGATCCCAAGTTTATAAATAAGAGCTGGAAGAGATCCCAAGAGGACATTGAGACTAACCCACTTCCAGAGCAGAACACTGTTCCATCACTTGAAAATAGGGACTGTTTCATCAGACCAGTTGTAAAAGAAAGCAGTGAAAACACACATGATTAAAAGCATATGGTCAAAGCAGAGTTATAATTTCCCAACCCCACAGATGTTTTGCCATATCCTCTTCTTTTTGTGTAATCGCCTGGCTTATAATTAGTCTCAACAATATTGTATGAATTTATATGCCTTACAGCATGAATAGGGTTGTAGGCATTACCCTTAAACAGGCTTAACAGGAAGAAACCCATTGAAGGCAATTATGTTTTTATGGTGAAACAAACAGCCTCTAATAAGAAGCAGTTCAGAAGCGTGGTGAAAAGAACACCAACGAGGAGATTAGATATTAGTGCAGCAGCCAAAGGGTTTTAAGCTTCCAAAACAGGAAAGGGAGTGAACTGTCAGGCTACATCAAATTACCCTCCATATGGGAATGTACACGAGTCCTTTCTCAAGTGTCTTTTACAACCTGGCTCACAGGTTTTGGTTATTTTATTTAAACATACAAACATAAATATAAAGCTACAACTGTTTTAGTATTAACTTAAAATGGTGCCCACAGAGAATTCAGAGCTAAATGTGCATAACTTTGCAAACTGTCAATTGCTAAAGCTTCTAAGACTGTATTCCATAGAATTTTATTCACTTGTAAAATATAATTTCTAGGGTTTCCCTTACTTGTTGCAAGGAGCAAGCAACAATATTAACAATCACTGCACAATAATCCTGTAAACAATAGCAGGACAATTTTCAACAGAAACAACATTAAACTAATTGGGAAGCAAGAATACCTTCACAAAAAGAAAGCATTTTAGCAAATTAATGCAGAGAAATGTACATAGCTTTTTCTCCAACACAGCAACTGACCAACCAATTCAGTGATTTCATTAGTTTATCACATATGGCACAATTAGAAGCCATGATGTAAAGCATTATATTAAACGGCAGAGCCTGAGCTAATTCCTTGTTAATATTACAAGGGAAGTAAAAGTGTCCAGAACAATTATGCCATGCTGACATAAAAATGACACATGTATCATAACATCATCGTGCTAATAATGTGAATCATGTGGTCACAAAACAATGCAAAATTATGTGAGTATATAATTTGTGATACATACAATATCACTTGTTCCCTCTTATATTTTCCCCATTGTGGACACCCACAAGGAGCACCTATTCATACACATCTCTATTTTTTTTGGAGTTTATGGACAAATTTAAAAGGTTGAATATGAAATTCAAATGTACTTCACAACCTAGAATTTCATATCACAATGAAGGAAAAGTAAACAAAATAAATCACACCTATTAAAGCAACTGTGTAGTATGGAAGCAGGAGATGCTTATTTGATATGGCTTACAGAGTACACTACATAGTAATTATTGATATAATGTGTCTATCCCATACAAGCTGTATTTCCAAAAACCACTAAAGCTATACTATGGTTTATTGGATTTTGGTTTAGTGTAAATCTAACCAGTGTGGTGTGAAAATAATTGTTCATGGTTATTGCGTTGCAACAAATTCAGCCAACTATGTATCTTTGAACAGTGTGAAAATCAAGTTACAAAAGATTCCCTGACTGGTTCCCTGGAACTATTCTACTCAACCAGATGGCCATTACTATGGCCACATAAATATGATCTAAGCCACACTATGCATGATTTAGATTGCTATTCAAAACCACAAACACATTACTTGAAGAGTCATTCCCATCTACATTACATAAATATGCCCATTATTTACAACTGCATACTAATATTAACTTTGTTCCCTAGAAAACATTCTAAAATTGCACGATGGTCAACTAAGACCCATATTGCAGTCAGAATAAGTAATATTATGCCATTACTATTGACTTGTCTAATTCATCCTGGAAACCTATCACATCTTAGCAGCATGTTGCATTTTTATGATATGTGCACAGTTCCCCGCTAAAACTTAGATGTGCAGTCAGTAATTCTGGTTACATTAGATGTCCTTGTAGTTTGAACACTATATTTTAAAGTAGGATTACATCAGCCAGAAACTATTTTAAAAGAAATCTACATACAGGTACAGTACAACATTTGGCAAATCTCCCAGCTGGAATCCAGAGTTAGCAACCTGTATACAATATCAATTGCTGGGGAACATGAGTTAGAGAATGCTATGGTACTCCTACCCTGTTTTTTAGTACTGACAGACATTGTTTGGTCTCTGTGGGAACAGAACCCTACTTTACACAGCAGCACTTGTTGCATTAGACAATCCTCTGACAAGGTAAAAGCATTGCCAACAAGCTTTCTAAGCAACCTGTGAAAATATATACAACAATGCAGATGATGGAATTGGCTTAGTGGTGCTACAGGACCATATTATGGTGACACCACTGAATTAAACTTGCAAAATTGTACACTTTCTAGAATAAGATTGTGTGAGCAGAGCAGTGCTGATACTGATTATTTACAACATTATTACTACTTTATTTACTACTGCAATGCTCTCTACATGGGGCTCCCCTTGGGGTGCACCCGGAGGCTCCAGTTGGTCCAGAATGCGGACGTGTGGGGGATTATGGGAGCGACGGGGCACTCCCATGTGACACCTCTCCTGCGCCAGCTGCACTGGCTTCCTGTGGTCTTCCGGGTGCACTTCAAGGGCCGGCGTATTTACGAGACCGCCTTCTGCCGCCAATAGCCTCCCACCGGCCAGTTCGCTCACACAGAGAGGGCCTCCTCAGGGTGCCGTCGGCCAGACAATGTCGGCTGGCGACCCCCAGGGGGAGAGCCTTCTCTGTGGTGGCACCTGCCCTCTGGAATGACCTACCCCCAGAGATACGCACGATACCAGACCTCCGGACTTTTTGTTGGGCCCTGAAAACACATCTATTCCATCTAGCCGGGCTGGCTTGACCCCATCCTTACGGTTTTAAATTTATAATTGGTTTTAATTGGGTTATTTTAAATTGATGGCCAAAATTATTTAATGTTTTTTAAATTGTTTTTAAATTTTATATGTTGTGTTTTTACTGTGGCTGTTCACCGCCCTGAGTCCTGTTGGAGAAGGGCAGTATACAAATTAAATAAATAAAAAATAAATAAATAAACATAAATCTAACCAAAGTAAAAAATGTATGTATTTTAATTAGATTATGAACCACAGGGCTGAAGTTTAAATAGAAGATCTTGCCATTCTCTTTTAGCCCAGGAGTGCTCTGTAAGAACCTAACCGTACATAAATATTGCACTTTTCTCAAAGAAACATGGAAAGAGTAAATGTATCACCTGTGTGGTATTACTATCTGTATGTGCCTGTTTGAACACATTTATGGTGATCATATTGATGATCATAACCACAAGAAGGCAAGATGTACAGCTTAGGAAGAAGTACCCATTAAAAAAAGAAGCAGCTGGCTGCACAGCACCATATGTGTACTACATGAATATGTGATAACTGATTACAGGGCAAACCAATTCTCTGATTGCACCTTTGCACACCAAAGCCCATTTTCATAGGAATGCAAACAGCTGCCTTATAAAAACAGATCAATTTTCTGCTAACTAAATGGTAAAAGATTTCCAAGATTTCAAATAAAAATCTTTCCTGGACCTAACCTGGCGATGCCAGCACTGAATACACCCTTTCCCTAAACTCCTTCCTAGCCAATGGAAGCAATGGCTTGGAAATCTGGGGGAAGGCGGAGGCGTAGTTGAGCCAAACATCTGAAGCTGGATGGAGCAACAGTCTGACTCAGGATAAGGCAGTCTATTTTCCTGAGCAGGAGGGGAAGTTACTCACTGTCATGAGCTGAAATGAGCTTTAGCAGTTTCATACCAAAAGCTTTAACATGAGGAGGGGGGGATGGGGAAGAAGGGTGCACCTTTGGAACTCCCTGTGTAAGGAGGAAACAAGAAGGCTCCACCACAAAGTGGAAGGGGAGATGGCAGAGTCCTTGGACAAGCTGGAGAACATCTGTGAGGTGACCCTTACAACCCAGATAAACCTCCAGGTGGCCTCAACGACTTGCTAAAAGAATGCAAATGACCAGCTTGTGGGCAAGCAGTATAAATCCTTCCATTCCCCACCACCCAGTCAGAGCCGAAGAAGCTTCTTGAATGAGAAGCAAAACGTCTTCAAAGAAAAACCAGAAAGTTGCCTCGGGGGGTGGGGGGGTGGGGAGAGCACTTTTGGGACAACCCCGACCTAGACGACTGAGAATCTCCATAAGATATCTGTGAGGTTTGCACAACCTCTGCTTGTCATCCTTGGGAAAAGAAGCCAACAGTCCTTAAAAACGAGTGTTTTTTTAAACCTGAAGTAGCTCCCAGCAACAGCCGCCCACCACCACAGCTCTCCCCCACACCCGCTCCGCACTGGGGAGCAGCCCACGCGCCAGCTCTCCTCCTCACCGGGTGATTTTTCCACCCACCCAGGCTACGAAGGAATCCCGTCCCGCCCCTCACGCTCAACAGTGAGTCCCACCGAACAGGCTTCAGCCTACACCCCACCTCCCTCCAACACACACACACACACACACACACACACACCGCCGCAAATCTTGTAGCGGCTTCCGAGCCCGCGGCCAAGATGCGCGCCCACAAAAACCCCACTCCGCAAAGGGACGCCTGCTCCGCTGCAGCCCAACAGAACCGCCCCGAGTGTTTCCCAACCAGCGCTTGCAAACGACCAAGAAGAGCCACGCACCGACCCGGCAACTGCACCCCAGACCAAAGGCGGGGAGCAAACTTCGCCGGACTTCAACGGGCAGCCGGGCAGCCGAACCACCGGAGGGGAGGGGAAACTACACCCCGCTGCCCCCGCGCCAGGCTTCTCCTCAAGGAGGTTCTGGAGCAATATTGATACCTCCGACACCCACTCTGGGCGCTTCCCTGAGGTCAAGCCAAAGATGAGCCCACCCATGACTGACCTCTCCCCTTCGTTCTTTCCACCCCCACCCCCGCCTCTCACCTCAACGAGCTGGACGTAGCTGGCCGGGAACCAGCCCCTCAGCCCTTCGGCCGTCTCCCCTTCCCACCAACCGCCGTCGGGCCCCGCCTGGAGGACGGTAAGCAGCTCGCCCGCAGCGAAGCGCAGTCCGTGCCGATGTCGCTCTCCGGAGAAGGGGTAGAGGGTTCTGCAACGCGCCCCCAGCACAGGCACCACCCGCTCCTGCCCGGGCGGTGGCATCACACAGCAGCCCCAGGGACTTGCTCAAGAAACTCGGCTCTAGCCGCCACAGGTGCCGAGCTGATCCGCCTCTGGCTGCCGGCAGTCCGCTTGCTTCCCTCTCGACGCTCCCCAGTCAGCCCAACTGGCGGATTGGCCGCCTCGTTTCCCTGCGCCGCCCCCTGGGACAGGCGGACCGACCGCGGCTCCGCGCCCGCCCTCTCTCTCTCTCTCTCTCTCTGTCTCTCTGTCTTCACACACACACACACATTCACTCCCCCTTTTCTCTCTCTCCCTCCTTCCCTCCCTCTCTCTCTCTCTCTCTTTCTCTCTCTCTTCACACACACACACACACACTCCTTCTCTCCCTCCATCCCTCCCTCTCTCTTCACACACTCCCCCTTATCTCTCCCTCCCCCTCCCTCCCTCTCTCTTCACACACACTCCCCCTTTTCTCCCTCCCTCTCTCTCTTTTCATACACACACACACCCTTCCCTCCCTCCCTCTCTCTTCATACACACATACACTCCCCCCCCCTCTCTCTCTCTTCACACACACTCCCCCCTCTCTCATACACACACACACACACACACACACACACGAGCCAAAGCGAGCCCTCCCCTCTACGTGTGGCTGATATTGCAATCTTAAACTGGGGTGGGGGGGGAGAGCGAGAGGCAAAAGGAGGACGGGGGCGAGATGCAGCGGCTCGCCTTCTCACCCCCGCAAGTTTGGCTTCCCCGCCCCCGAATCGGAAAGAGGCTTACATTTCGCCGAAAGAAACCTGGCATCGGACTCGCCGTAAAACGCTCTACAGTAGGCGGCAATCTATGCATCCACGGGGCTTTCATTCACCCAACGCGTGTTTGGTACAGGTGCGCAGGAGAGAGGCAGGCAAAGCCTGGTGCCCATCAATTCAGTTTTACTGTCAGCCATATGTGTTGGCGAAATAGCAAAAAAAAAAAAATTCGGTCCCTGCCTTCAAAGTGTTTGGTTGAAACAGGCAAGTGGATAAACCCATTGGTTAACCCCAATTCAGCGGCAAGACGGCAAATGGAAGCTGTAGGTTATATGATGGATAAAGTGTTTATTTAGGGACAAGTTATTTATTTTAGTAAGGGAGAGATCAGGGAGAAAAATCTGTCTTATGAGCTTGCTAAGAGTCCATTTTGACTTGATGGCACGTAATCAATATATTTCAGTAACTTATATGGCTGTCCATCTCACAATAGTGACAGTTGTCACTGGTCCGCAGTAGACATTCTGTATGTGGAGCTTATTGGCCCATGGCAAACAAAATAAGATAATTAACATCAAAATGCGAAGTTTATCTCTACATCTTATTGTTAAAAATATAGTTATTATATTCACAATACACTTGGCCTGTATCTACAATGACAGCTAACGATGATAAATAGTTGACTGATAGAATTTTAATAAAGTTTTATGAGTGTGTTTTGGAGCAGTATCCCATCCAGGATCAAAGTCAACATGGATACGAAAGGTGAAGATTTGCTTCCCCTTAACTCTTAACTCTTATTTGTCTCCAGATATCCTCTCACGTGACTGCAAGAGAAATTAAAAAAAAAAAAAAGCACAGTGAAAAGAATAGTGGGACTAGAAGATCTTTAACACAATGAAAATAAGTTGGAATGAAAAGTTAACTTATGTAGAGCTTCTGGAGCCCCAGTTGGTATTCTTTATTGGATAAAAGAGTGAGATAACCTATAATGTATTCCCAACACCAGTCCATGGACTGGCACCGGGACTGCATGCCAGAAACTGGGTTGTACAAACAAGTGAAACTCCATCCATGGGATGCAGGCAGCATGCCAAACCATGCCCCCTCTGGTCTGTGGAAAAACCCCTCTCCACAGAACCCGTTCCTGATGCCCAAAAGGTTGGGAGCCGCTGACCTATAACCCCTGAACTTTACTAATTTGTCTGTATACATAACTCAGTGTTTAATGAGTGCTGAGTGCTCAGTGTACATGCAGGGAGTGACATTCACCCTGATGGTAACCAAGCCACCCATATTATCAATGGTTACATTCAATCTAGAAATGAAGCCTGGAGTTTAATGGGATCTCTTGGCTATCAATAGGCAAGCTTTGGAGCTCTCAGAGGGAAGAATGTTTTAAATTAAATGTTCACAAATTGTAAATTGCATGCTTTGAGAGGGAGATTACTTTGTTTTAAGATGATCAAGTTTGACCAGGCAAAGTTGGAGCACTGTCCAAACTGATGCCTCGCTTGTGTTCTTGCAATCTGGTGGTTAGGAGTTAGAAGTTCAAGGACACCCAAACTCATTGGTAACCCCACACTACCAATGCAAAGTGTGATGTGAGTTGTGTTAGTATAAATAAAGTGAGAACCCTGTCACTCCTGTCTTGCTTTGCTTTGGGGAAGCCAGAAATAAGGCCTAGGGTGAGTTTTGAGAAATGGCTAAACCCAAAGGTATAAGCCATCTGTCAAAATTATTCACCAATCACAATAATACTGTAACTGACAGACGGTCTTCCATTGGCTGGTGACTTCCAGCATGTCATATGGTAGAGCGTCTGTGCCTCTATAGAATGTATGTGTGTGTTTTAGTGATGGTTGTTAAATTGTTCATCCTTCTAAATGGGAAAAATAGTATGTAAAAAGCTAAATATGACCAATCTATAGGCAATGGCACAGCACAGTCAAAATAAATGTAAATCAAGAAAGTACGATGGAATTTACATATCTTTTAGTAAATGTTAAACTTGCTCATCTCAAATCCCAATGTAATCCCCATGATTAGTTTTATCATGGGGATTACAAATGAATTGATAATTTTAGAAAAGTCATGGTACTGTAAAGTTTGAAAATTACTGTTCCAAATCATGCTCAAATTTATTTATTTAAAATATTTGTATACTTGCCCATCTTTCAACTAACTGGATGATTCCTAATCAAAAATTAAAAGATAATATTTTATAACTCAATAAAAACAATAAAAATTAAAAGACATATAAAATAATTGAAAATTATAAAACTCAACTGATTAAAACTAAAAACAACAAAAACTTGGCACCAAAATCCTGGTGGAGTTTCTCTTTGTGCAAGACCTATACATATATTATTCCAACATTATTACTAAAGCAACACATTACAGAATATGACATTATGCCAATGTTGCTGTAATATTATGAAAGCATCGTAGGCAGATATGCCAAGGCAAATGTTTTATATCAGTGAATAAGAGAGATAAATGGGGCAGTCAGAACATTTCTTTTATAAGGCATACTTTTATTTCCTTAACAAAGTTTTCTATAAGGTAAAGTATACCTTCACCTACCCCCTACCCCCCAAAAAATGAGCTTCTGGATTTAGCCGTATAAGAATAAAGTGACTATTCATAAGCTTGAAATAAAAATATTGGTGTGCTCTTGCTTTGAAACATTATCATAATGATAGGCTTATATCACTCTGAATTAGGTAATTTGAACTGATGAAATTGATAGCTAACTTATAAAGAGATGGGAAATCTATACTCATTATTGGGTTTTTAAATTTTGCATTGTTATTGTAGACATAAATCATAATTTACCAGTTGTCGTTATCTTGTAACATGAATGTTAAGCTAAGGATGCCTCAGAATGACAATAAAGTGTGAAGCCTTTAGACAAAAGAGGACTTTTGTTTAATTTGGGTCATGCATGTTTAATTTCATGTCTGATAAATTTTACTGTCTGTGGTTTTAAAAGTCAGTATCTTGCACATCTCATTCCAATATAGGCCGAAGGAGTCACATTAGGCAGAGATCAGTTTCAGCTAAACATGCATATTTTCGCCAAAAGACAGAGAATATGGACATCATAAACTGCTAAACCGAAACCTACATAACAAGAGAGCAGCAAAGTACAGGTGGTCTCGACTTACAACATTTACTGGTAAGTAACCGTTCAAAGTTACAACGGCACTGAAAATGGTGACTTACGATTGTTTTTCATAATTACAACCTTTGTACCATCTCCATGATCATGTGATCCAGATTCAGATACTTGGGCAACTGGTTCATATTTATGACCTTTGCTGTGTCCCAAGGTCATGTGATCACCTTTTGCGACTTTCTGACAAGCAAAGTCAATGGGGAAGCCATATTCGCTTAACAACCAGGTTACTAACATATCAACTGCAATGATTCAGTTAATCATTGTAAAATGCGGCTAAACTCACTTAACAAATGTCTCACTTAACAACAGAAATTTACTTATGATCGTAAATTGAGGACTACTTGTATAAGAGCATTCCAGAAGTAATCCATTTCTTCTCTAATTAATGTGTTTGTAACAACTGTTACTATTGTGGGTATTTTCCATTATATTGATAGTTTTGGTAGTAATTTACCAAAGTACTGCCACACACAATTATTTAAACTGGAGTTTCCTGGACAGATTTAAGGAACAACTTCCCTTTAATTTCAGTTGATTGAAAGTAACTGCTGGTTGTCTCAGACTGATTATTCAGGACCATTAGTAAAAATGGGTGTTTGCAGAAAAGTCCATGTTCCTAATGATATAAGCAAGAAGCCCTGCTGGATAAGGTCAAAGGTTCTTCCGGTCCATCAACCTGTTTCCTGCGGTAACTTTCTAAATTCATCAAAGAAGCCCAACATAGCTTTTTTTCCCCCTGCACCTTTTCCAGTTCTGTGATACCCTTCTTGAAAACCGATTATTTATATTGCTGCAGAATTGCAAGTGTAAATTCAATTCCAATTTGCTTTATAATGTCATGATACTGGCAGTTCCATTTTCAACTCTAATGACCTGTAGATTCAGAGTTGTCTCACAGTGTTTTTGTTGAACTGGCCACAAAACACAGCCCCTTGTTAATCATTGCCAACTGAGCTCCGTTCTGTATATTTGAGAAGTTGGGTTCTTTGCTTCATTGTGAATTTTTCTGCAGATATACCTATTGACTTTCATTTGTCACTTTGTTACACAGTCAGCCAGTTGGTAGACATTCCTTTGGAATTATTCACAGCCTGCTTGGGTTTTAACTCTTTAATAATTTGGTGTCACCTGCAAGCTCTGCTATTTCATTATACACCCTAACTCTAGGCTATTCATGAAAAAAGTTAAATAGCACTGATTCTTCTTTCACACATCTCATTATTCTATAATTCAATATTATATTAACATTCCCACTAATTTACCTGGAGGAAGTAAACAAACTTAGCCTATAATTTTCTGGAATTTTTTTTTAAATAAATCAATGGTTACATTCTAATTTGATATGAAGGACCAGCTTAAAATAGTATATTACTGATAAGGTTTCAAATCTTGTTACGTGTTCTATAGTGCTAGTAAAAAACAAAAAACAACAGGCAATTCTTGCCATAAGATGCTATTTCAGAAAGGATCAGGTAGAACTTACATTCTATACCTTCCCATTAGTATTTCCCCCTATATTAATATTCCTTCTTTTCACAATTCCATCTACTCCCACTGCTAAGGAATTCTAGGTAAGGAAGTTGGATCTGGGATATCAGGCATTGTTACACTTTGCCCCCGAAAATTCTGCTCTCTACTGAGAAAAGCATCTCCTCATTTTGTTCCATTTATAAAAACCTGACTAGATAAACAACTGAATATTGAAACACAGTCCTTCAGTGCAGCTCAGACCTGCAGGCTAGTTTAAGTAGCTGAAAACTTTTAGTAATGCAAATCTGCAAATCTGTCCTTGAACATCTCAGTTCCTCTCTTCATTCATATCCATACCATGTCCCTTTAGCATCTGATGATTGAGGCCACTGTCTTAGGGTTGGCCTTGTTTTTTCTCAGGATTAATATCATGGAACCACTTCTGCTGCTCTCTTTCTGTTCCTTCTTTCCACTCTTATCATTCCAATCCTTTCTGTGTCTTGTTGCTCCTACTTCTGCCTTGTGATCTACTTCTGCCTTGCAATTATTTTTAGCTCTCTTCGTTTGACCTTCTCATCTTCAGTTCTCATCTTCACCAGCTTCTCCATTCTCTTTATTTCTTCTTCAAGTTACATTTCTTCTATCTCCTCTTCATAATTGCATTTGCCAAAAATGTGAAAAGGTATGTTCTTATGTCTTTGGCATGTGAGATTACTTGAATAACTGTTCTCTTGGGAATTTATTAAAACATTTATTAAAATCAGGAATTACCTTCCAGAAATCTACTTTTTCCTAAGCTGCAAGAGAGAGACCAACCCCAAATCAGTAGAAATTAATAACCAAGATTTCAAGGTTAAGAATGGATGCAAAACTTGATCTCCCCAGTTCTGGAACAGCATCTAACCACAATAGACTGGATCTTATTTTGACTAAACCATGATTTAGAGCCATGTGGTGCAGTGGTTAGAATACAGTACTGCAGCTACTTCTGCTGACTGCTAACTGCGTGAAGTTTTGAAAGTTAGATTCACATGGGCTCAAGGTTGACTCAGCCTTCCATCCTTCTGAGGTCAGTAAAATGAGCAATATCTGACTCTGTAAATCGCTTAGAGAGGGCTTTAAAGCACTATGTAGTGGTATATAAGTCTAAGCACTATTGCTATTACTAATTGTGAAATGCTGGCCTCTCTTATTCAATTTCCTTCTGACACAGGACTGGGTTGACTTCTGAGTATGAATGCCTGCATTTTGACTTTTTTCCTCACTCCCCTTCTATAGCCAAAGGACTTTCAAGACAGCAAAGATATAGTGTCCATGTGTACAGCTCTGCCGAATTTCCATACCTCATTTTCATGGGTTCTCTTGGGAGTCTGCATGCCCCAATTATTTGAGATTAAGAAGTGGTACAGGATGCCCCTAGCAGTCACCCTTACTGGTTCCAAATCAGTTCCTGATTCATATGCTAGGTATCCTGAAAGCACTTTAATTTCTACATGCTTTTCCCACAGGTTGACCTCATCATTTCTGGAAGAGACATTGCAGGCAGGTTATGGCCCAGAATTAGAGTGGCTAATCCTAACTAGCTGTGAGCTATTAACTTTTCTCCAACCGCAAACTTCTACTAGTGTATGCATATGCAGAAAGAGGAGAAAAAGCTTCTTTCACTTTTATATCATGGCAGTGTTCCAGACATCCAGCAAGCCTCTACGCCTCCCTACTACAATTTTATTCAAAAGCTCCAAGTATTTTCCCCTGCAGCTGGAATAGAACTGGAAGATGTGGCAGGTAGTATAGTACATGCTCATAATACAGGATAACTTACTTTGTTTTGTATCTGGGGCAAGCTGGGGAAACATGAAAGACCTAGTTATAGCACAGTGTCAAAGACCTGTATTTGTAGAATTTTGCAGCATATTTTCTTTTGGTTGGTGCTGAGATTTTGTGATGAGTGAAAATGTGGTCAGCTTCCAAATCACATTAAAATCTCTGTTTGATCAGCAATATGGTATATGCTTGCAGAGCTAGGTTGGATATAAATGTTCAGAAATAAGTATATGCAATACTGTGCAAGAACCTCTGTATTAAACTTGTGCAAGAACTTCTTTGTTATACCTAACATTGTCATCATCAAGCAGTCATCTAAATTACAAAAACTACAGAAAGCTACAGTATGCCCTAATATGTTTATTAGTATTTCTGCTGATGCAAGCTTTTCTTTTTGCTCATTGAAGTTATTTTACATATTGAACTCCACCTATATTATGACTTCAATCTCCATCAAAATGCCCTGCCATTTGCCAATGACTTTCACCTATTCAATCAATCATAATTTTCCTCTGAATACTCTGAATTCTGTTTGGCCAAGCTTGACTCTTGAGTCTGGAACATAAGGAGTGTTGCACTGAATATTATGTTGGTTTGCTAGGCCAATCTAGTTAAACATTCTGTTGCCAATGAGATGGTAAAGAAAATTTCACAAGCAGGAAAATATGACAGCAGCGCTCTTTTTATGTGTTCCGGAGTCAGCTGGTATTAAGATGCTTGTTGTCTGTTGATAATGGACATAAGATACAATGGACATGAATACTAACAATTGATAGACTTATCCTTGAATAATTTGCTTAATCGCCTTTGAGTTTGGTGACCATTATTGTCTCTTGTGTAGAGAATTTGAGAAATTAGCTGTGATTTAGTGAGTGAAGAAAAGTTACTTGAATGAAAAAGTAGTATATTAAAAAAAAGACTTAGCAACTGTTTATAATCCATGCACAATTTATACCCTTCTATCACTTCCCCCATTTCTCATTTTTTTCTAAATACAATCAAAGGCCTCCTTGCCTGTGCCCTTGATAATTTTGGGTATCATTTTCAGTGTTTTCCCCAGATCTACCATATTCTCTTTGGAGGGAGGTTGCTTGTAGAATTGTACACATCATCATATGCATGATTGCACCATGGATTTATGCAACTATATGACTACAGTACAATTATTGCTACTGATAGTCCTGATACAAGACAGTATTTGTATCTCAGAGTTGAAATCTGAGGTCCCTGGTGCTCTCTGAGCTTGGTTGTTTTCTTTCAGATGTTTCATTACCAAACTAGGTAACATCATCAGTGGAAATGGGGTTTGCTTTCATTTTATATTTTAGTGGCATACTCTTGTCAGTTAATAGGAGTGGTCTTAGTGGTTCCTTGATTTGGTTTATTGTTTATTATTCACTTGTTTGGCAATTCCTTGATTGGGGTATTGTTTGCTTCTTGATTATTGGTATTAATCTCTGCCTAGCTGAGTGTTGATTGCTGGTGAGGAAGTGTTTCCATTTCCATATTAGCTTTTTTATTTTCTCTGTTGAATGATGTTTAGATGTTTATGTCTGTTTATGTCTAATCTCTGCTCATCAATACCCAGATGAGCAGAGATTGACACCAAGATTAACATCAGAACAACAGTCAAGAAGCAAATAATGCCCCAATTAAGGAATTGCCAAACAAGCTAACAATAAACAACATTGGTGAGGGGTGCTTATGGAATGCTTTGCTCTGTAGTATGGATCTAACTTCCTTCCCTCTTTAGGGAGTTGTCATCAGCTCAGATTATATATACAGTATCTTTGTTTATGTATATGAATGAGTTGTTTTGCATCAACATGTTTTGTACTTTATTATGTATTATGAGTATTATAATATATATTCTCATCTGGAGATAATTTTGTGGAATTCTTCATTATCTTATTTTGTGATTTGTCTGCTATGTCTTCTCAATATTTATAAGCTATGTACAAGTTTATTACTCTTGTTTTTCCTTTCTTCAAACTACTGAGGAAGAATAGCTATCTTTCTTTCTTTTTCTTCTAAATGTTAAATTTCTTATGATGATTGATGTTTTCAAATGATTAGATTCCCACAGTGCACCAGGCCTAATTGCATGAAGCTTTGATGCCTTGTTCAACAAACCAGTCCATATATACTTCAGCTTCTTATCAGGCTTGATATCTTGGACTCACTAATTGTGGCAGAAAGTCATAGGCCACTAGTGAGTTGAAGAGGTTTCTGGACAATAACAACACTTCAGCAGAACATGTAGTAAGGCAGAAGTTGAAATGGCTCCTTGCATGAGTTTGTATCCAGCTCCATCTGCTGGGATAGGAATACAGTAAATGAAAATGAAAAAGGGTAACTTTAGGATTGCATTCCATTTAGAATTATCTTCAAGGAAAAGGAAGCCTTCTATAATTCACTCAGGGAATCATTTTACATAATACATGGTGAGTGATTACTGCTCTTCCTGCTTTATTCAAAGGAAGATTCAATAGTCCCAATGAGAATAAACTATAAAACATCACATTGAAAACCATGAGTTTGATTACCAAATGTGGGAACATAAATAACATGAAATTATTGTTACTATTAAATGAAGTTGTAAGTTACCTAGAACTTTGGCAAGGATGAGAAATGTCTAAAATAAGCAAAACCAACAGCAATTAAACACATAACAATCTAAACTGTTATATCTAGGAGTTAAACATTTATCCAAGAAAAAAAAGGGGGGGCCAGAATGAAGCACAGCAGAATACATAGAGGACCATCAGTTTTTCCCAAAGACCTTTGCGAGTTCTTAGTATGACATTGTGAATAAAACAAAGAGGAAATAGTGGGAAAGTTATTTTACAATGACGATACACAGTGGTGGAATTCAAATTTTTTTACTACTGTTTCTGTGGGCGTGGCTTGGTGGGTATGGTGTGGCTTGGGCATGGCAGAGGAAGGATACTGCAAAATCTCCATTCCCACCCCACTCCAGGGGAAGGATATTGCAAAATCTCCATTCCCACCCCACCTCAGCCAGAGGTGGTATTCGCCAGTTCTCCAAACTACTCAAAATTTCCACTACCGGTTCTCCAGAACATGTGGGAACCTGCTGAATTTCACTCCGACGATACAACTGTAAAGGCATTGTATCTTGTATTATTCTAATTCCTGGAAGTAGAAGAACATAAACAGAACATGTGTCAATGCATGGAAAGAAGTTATTAAATGAAGGCGTTTCAAATTCACAAATCTTAGGTTGTTGTTTTTTTAAAAAAAAATCCCTAACTCAGGATATTCAAAGGAAATAAATCATCCTGAGAAACAAAAGGCAGCTAGTGGAAAAAATGAAAATGCTCCGTTTATCCTGACAGAGCAATTAAAGAAAGCAATTATGCTCCATTGTGGGAACTTTTCAAGAAAAGACTGGACAACCATTTGTCTTTGGTGGAATAAGGACTTCTGCCTTGGGGTGGAATAAAGACTTTTGGACTAATAGACCTCCAAAGTTCCTTCCAGCCCTATGATTCTATGATTCTGTCCAAATGTCCGGCAATACCTTTGGAGTCTGTTTTAAATCCAAAGTACAAAATTCATCTTTGAGATGCATTTAATGATTGCTACAGAGTAATTTTAAGGCTTTGGGCACCCTATTTCACAGAAAGGAAGAGCCCTCCAGAGCTTTTTGATTAAGATGCATTAAAAGAGATTAGGTTATGGGTACAGAAATCTCAGCAGTTGGAATGTGCCGCTCCTTTAGAATTCATTTTTTCTGTCCAGATTTCTAAGGTGGAGACTTTTTCAGTCAGTTACTCATGGCATGTTTAAGAACTGATGAAGAGGCTCTTTTCTTAACTGATAACGGAGGAATGCCTGGCAGATTAGAAAGGGAATCTCCTTCTAAACGCACCGTTATAGTGCATAGTAGAGACCTCACCCTTCTTGCCTCTTATTTCATCTGACGCTTATTGAAATCAGATGGATTTGAACAGTATAATAACATCCCAAGCAATCCTGTTATACTTAAGTCTTGGTTTTGTTGGTGAGCAAACCTTAAGGTTGAGATAATTGGGTTAATTACATCCAGACTCAGTATCTCTAAATAAGAGTTTCCCCCTCATTTTATCTGGATTAGGTTTTGCCTACATCCAGTCTTCCATTGCTATCCACATTAGTTCAGTGTTCAAAACAGTTTTTTTTAACATATATTTAAAACAAATCAGTAAACAATTATCCTCATGTTTTGAAACAGGCTTCTCCAACCAGATGCCCCTCAGATATGTTGGACTACAATCTTCATCATCCTCAGCCACCACAAGAATAGTAATCCAAAACTACTGGAGGACATCAGATTGTGTAAGAGTGACTTTCCATGTGGAACTCAACTACCTGTGCCCCCTTTCAAATTCAAATTTTTATTTTGGCTATTGCTTCCTCCACTGAGGAAGTCTGGATTTTCCCACACTGATAGTTAAACACTCTCTTCAAGGTAGGGTGATTTTGTTCAGGAAAATAATGCACGTATTCTCCCCAGTAGCCTACAAGACCATTATTTTTATCAAAACTCCCATCTGTGATTTTGAAGTAGTAATAACAAAACACTGTGATGCATCATAAATCTGTGGCAGGACATGGATCAGAGCAGTCACAGATCTTAACACATTCACAAATTAGTTTTTAAACACAGGTTCAAATTACCCTCTGATAGATGTCTTAAATCATTATCATGCAGGAAGTATTGGTTTATTTTGGGGTGCTCTGATGCACATGTAAGGACTAAGACTACTTTTTAAAAACACTAAAACTGAAATTCCATATATGTGATAATACAAAGAATACCATACTAGCTGCTTGTTGTATATTGGAATTTTTATAAGGAGATTTTTCTTTTATTTATGCAAAAATATGTGTGTCAGATTTCTGTGGTCTAGATGTATAGAAATGTACTTGTATCTATATGACATAAGCATTTCAGTATTTTTCTCTGAATGGTGTATCTGTTCAGCAGCCATCTGTATATAAAGCTGCTATTCTCTAAGCATGACCTATGAGTGAAAATCTCTACAATTAAATATAAAATGCCATGTTTGTAAAATGGTTAAAAAAAATGAGGGCCTAATTCCTTAAACCCAAGAATTTAAGAATAAATACTGTCATGAAAAGTTTAATCCTTCAATATTTGCATTTGGTAATGGATGAGTAAGAAATCCTGCCTAGCAGATCACCTTAGATACTGATCTAGGACTTGAACACATCATTAGTATCTGTAACAGCTGTTATGCTCACTTTTAGTTCCTTGATAGGAGCTGTTAATATGCAGACCATTCCTTTAGCTTTTCTCCTTCAACTAACTCTTCTCTTTAATGCTTCCAACTTCCTTCTTTCTCAGTGATCATAGCCTAGTCACTTTTATTTAGTGTAGTGCTAACTGAACCACGAGATGGATGACAAATAAATTTGATAAATAAATTTATGAGGTTTGACTTGTCACTGAGATCATTCAAGGTCTGAAGATCATGATTACAGTGAACAAAAGCAATGATACAAATCATACTTTAAAAAACTTAAACCTGCAAATAAAATACAAATGTTCCCAAATGCACACATCTATTTACCTAGTAATTAATCGTCAATGAGCTGCTAGTTTAAATACAACAATTTAGGGATGGAATGCACGATACTAGCCTGATTTACTAGCTTAATTAGTCAAATGTCTAGGTAAAAAACCCTAGAGACCTCTGTATTTAACCTTCCCTTGTAATTTGATAGCAGGAAGCATTATAAACATTTTAAAATTAATGTTCAGTCTATACTAATATTATATATCCTTCCTATTCAATAAACCTTTAAACAGCTTTCAGAATTCCATTCGTTGGTTTTTTTAGAGTTTCTTCTTTTCTTTTTTCTTTTTTAATCATAGGTTCACCTTGATTTTTGAATCGGGTGTTTAATGCTTTATAATGGCCAAGAAAAGTTACGATTTCTGTATTAAATTTGTTGCTCATACTCTCATACAATTTTCCACCATTTTGGTTTTTTTTTAATGTTTTCACAGATTTGCGATTTTTTTTTTTAAATTTGATTTATATGCCACCCTTCTCCGGAGACTCAGGGCGGCTTACAAGGCGTTAAGCAATAGCCTTCATACTTTTGTATATTTTATACAAAGTCAGCTTATTGCCCCCACAAACTGGGTCCTCATTTAACCTACCTTAGAAAAGATGGAAGGCTGAGTCAACCTTGAGCCTGGTAAGATTCGAACCTGCAGTAATTGCAGGCAGCTGTGTTAATAACAGGGTGCTTTAGACCACTGTACTACCAAGGCTCTTTTTGATGTGATATTAAAAAAACAACAAGTCTGTTCCATTATATATTTCTATCCATCAAATACTATAGATGTGTACTAGAAACTCCTACAAGGTATTTGTACTCTTTTGCTATTTGCACTATTGTACAATACAAAAATACAAAATCCTTTAAGGTACTCATTCTTTGAAATGACCAGTTTAAAGGCATGGAGGTCTTTCATATGCAAAATATGTTGAGAGGGAAAACAAAATTTCAATTTAAACTGTGATTAAAACATTCATTGCTCTGTTAATTATCACAGATAATGAAAGGTTTTTGTGAAAAATACCTACCAAAGTGCTATTGCCAAATGATACCACAGTTCTTTTTTCTTTTACCTATATTCCTTGGGGAATATCACCTATAAGAAACCACTTGAAAATGAATAGGAAGGAACAATGTGAGAAGCTGTGTTGGTGGCGGGGGGAACTTTACTAAAGCAGAGCCTAAAGCAGAATGGGGCTAGATGAATCAAAATTGGAATTAAGATTGCCAGGGGAAATATCAACAACCTCAGACATGCAGATGATACCACTCTAATGGCAGAAAGCGAAGAGAAACTAAAGAGCTTCTTGATGCGGGTGAAGGAGAGTGCAAAAGTTGGCTTGAAACTCAACATTAAGAAAATTAAGATCATGGCATCCAGCCCTCTCAATTCCTGGCAAATAGATGGGGAAGAAATGGAGGTAGTGACAGATTTTATTTTTCTGGGCTCCAAGATCATTGCAGATGGGGACTGCAGCCAAGAAATTAAAAGATGCTTGCTCCTGGGGAGGAAAGCTATGGCAAATCTAGATGGCATACTAAAAAAACAGAGACATCACCCTGCCAATAAAAGTGTATATAGTCAAGGCTATGGTTTTCCCAGTTGCAATGTATGGCTGTGAAAGATGGACCATAAGAAAGACTGAGCACCAAAGAATTGAAGCCTTTGAACTATGGTGCTGGAGAAGACTCCTGCGAATCCCTTGGACTGCAAGGCAATCAAACCAGTCAGTCCTAGAGGAGATCAACCCTGACTGCTCTTTAGAAGGCCAGATCCTGAAGATGAAACTCAAATACTTTGGCCACCTAATGAGAAGGAAGGACTCACTGGAGAAGAGCCTAATGCTGGGAAAGATTGAGGTCAAAAGAAGAAGAGGATGACAGAGAATGAGGTGGCTGGCTGGAGTCACTGAAGCAGTAAGTGTGTGAGCTTAAATGGACTCAGAGGATAGTAGAGGACAGGAAGGCCTGGAGGAATGTTGTCCATGGAGTTGCGATGGGTTGGACATGACTTCACAACTAACAACAACAACAAAGCAGAACCTAAACTCAAGCAAGAGAAGTAATCAGGTAGATATAATTGAAAAATGAAGACTTTATTAAACTTTGTTAAATTGTTTTTGAATACCAAAAAAATCAATCAAGAATCTATCTTTCCGGTGACAAAACAGTGAGACATCTTCCTTCTTTGCATGTGTAAATTAAGCTTTATGATGTACAAACACTAATTTCTGACTGAGAAATAACAGTAGCTTCCTGCAGGATCTTGGCAATTAAAACGACTTTATGTCTTTCAGCTCCCATAATGAAAACTGTAGAAATGGCTTGCCAGATGGATCTGCTAACATACTATAAGATTTCAAGCAACTACCCAAGCATACAAGCAAAATTGCCTTTTTGATCTTTTCTTCAGCATGTTGCTCTTGGATGGCGTCATTAATCTTGCTGTGCAACTGAACAAGGTCCATCCCTGATTTTTTTGGTTCAGAAGGCTTGTATTTTGGAACAACGAAGATTTCAAAGATACTAGGCTTTGAAAGATACATCCTTTTATATTTCCTTTGGGATGATTATATTGAAAAGCTTCTACTCATAGTGTAAACTACAGTACATGGGCATTAGAAAAGGGGAATGGGGAGTTGTTCCAGAGAGCAGTGGACAATGATTGTAAGTTTTTTCCCCTCCTTATCACAAATAATCCCTAAAAATATACTATGTAAGAATCTTGGCATAGTAAACCTGCTCTGCACGCCATTCAGAGGTTGGGATTAGGAGATCTACAAGGATAAAAGGACACTTCAGTGTTTCAGAGTGAGATTCAGTACATTTTGTTTTTTAAAAATGAGTATAGTTGTACTTTCAACTACATCATCAGTAAGCTCTTGTTCATACAATTGGGAAATAAACTGTTTTTATCTATTCCAGAACTGTCTGCATCTCTTTGAGCCTGGTTATCCAATTATAATTCAACAGCACCAATGCTATTCCAGATTGTTGTTGCCTCTAACCACATCATAAGATATTTAAACTGAAAGTGTTAGTTGTTGTTGTTGTTGTTTTAAACTAGGGGATAAAGATATGTATGCAGAGAGGAGATGGATATTTGAATATTTCAATTTTCAATATTTTAAAAGCCTATATTGTGGCTTAGCTTTTTCAAAACAGTCCAGGTTGGCTTGGTGCTGAAATGTCTTATTTTGGAATCTTGAACTCTGCAATTACAATCTCAAAACAGAAATGCAACATCAAAACCAAATTATATATCAAAATAAATATTTCTGAGATGCTTCTTAAGCCAGATTCCAAAGCCCAGTTTGGGGGGGGGGGGTTTTCTGGTTTGATTTAGCTGCCTGAGTACTTCATGAGGGAGTAAGGCATTCTCAGTGTAACCATACATCCTATTTGTAGTCAGGAGGTGGCACTAAAATTCTTTTAGAAGCTTTCACTGAGTAATGGAGTATTCACTATGACACTGATTATGCTATCACAGTACTTAATGGTTCAGGGAAGACACTATGGAAATAATTGTTTTTGGTACTGCCTCTGGAGGGCAGAATAAGTCCATCCATATAGCATGTTGAAATTAACAGTACTATATCTTGGAAGCATCCATATTCAAAACATCTTTCGAGGCACCTGGAAGGCCTCACATTTCTTGTTGAGTTTGCTTCTACATTTTCTCTAATAGCTGTTTCTGTAACTTCAGCAATCTGTTCTGTCAGATCAGATTCAGTTTCCTTTGC